CAAACGCCAAAAAAAAAAAAAAAGACAAAAACAGGTCACACTGCTCAGTAGATGCTATGACTAACATCGGCCTATGAAAATAAAGGGGTATACAGGAGAAGAACACAACGACGAGTGCGGCTTCCACTTGGTAATACACATTGCCATGCTCAGGCCAAAAACTAGTGGTAACACATAAAAGACAAAAAGCAATGAAAGCCCAGGGCTCTTACAATAGCGTCTTTTGAGACACAAGCTAGACAAACAGAAAAAAAGGCAGTGAGGGAGCGAGAGACGTGAGGAACATTTCTGAGGATGAGTAAAAACCAAAATAATAAGAAAACGCATTAAAAAGAAATATATACGTACGGAAATAACCAAAAGGGATGTTTCCTATGGTGGGGGCCTAACTGTGAGCAACACTACCTTGCCGGACTCTTGACCTCTTGAATAAGCTGTTGGAATGCCGCAACCTGCATGCCCAGCTTTTTAATTTGCGAGCCCACGGTTTCTTGCTAATAGGGTTTTTGAGACTAGGACAAGTAAAGCTTAGGCCAAAATATCCACCTCCTGTCTGTAGATGCGCGGCTCCGCTGCCCATAGAGCGCTTGGTGCAGGCATGAGAACTCCCGGGGTGCCAGGCTTCTTCAGAACTTTCCTGGAGAAGGTGATAAAAAGAAAGAAAAAGGAGCAAACAGGAAGATATAAGTCTGAATCTGTTACCGTAGAGAGCAATTGTGAGCAGTAGTAAGACTGTGTACCTAAATTATTTTTTAAATAACATTTTGTGTGCTTATCACACCTTTCCTAGGTTTCCACCTGCGAGAACATATAAAATACTAGGGATACACCGATACCGGTTTTTCGGTTTCGAGAACAGATATTTTTTTTTCCCCCGGTACTCGCCGATACTGAATACCGATACCGGAAGTCCCATTAAGGAAACCGGGCAGCATGTAATGACTCGCCACCCGATTTCCCGATTAGCAGGGAAGCCATTTTCATGCTTCCTTGTCACCGGGTGATGAGGGAGCATAGAGCTGGCTTTCTGGCCAATCAGGAAGCAAGGCAATATGTCACACAGCGCCCGGCTTCCTCCTTGCCCGGAAGCCGGTTCCATGCTTCCTTGGCATCAGGTGACGAGGGAGCATGAAGCCGGCTTTCTGGCCAATCAGAAAGCCGGCAGCGTGTAATGACTCGCGGCCGCGCTTCTTGATACCGGAAGCTCAAGTGTTGGGCTAGGCATCGGTGCATTTGGGTCAGTACGAGTACTCGCCCAAACACTCGGCATTGGCACAGATACTAGTATTGGTGCATCCCTATAAAAAACCACAACATACCAATGTGGATATCCCAAGTAATCTTACATTATTCACTATAAAATAAAACCAAAAAAGGCATGGAATACACAGAAAAGTAATATATATGATTAAAATATTATGCACTTATAACACCACAATGGGAGGCCTATGTTAAAGTGACATTAAACCCTCAGATTTTTTAACATAAAACAATACTGTAATGTGCGCCTTACTGTAATCCATGGTAGTTTCCCTTCTCTTTGCTGCTCTTCCTTTTAAATCCTTCTCTCTTCTCATGCTGGGCAGAACTTCTGTTTTGCACCAGACTGCCTTGTCTCTGAAATGGATACACGGTGTCTGTGTGAAGGTTTGCAACCTGAGCCAGCACTACAGGAAGAGGCCCTGAGCTGCAAAAGGGAAGTTCTCCCCAAGCATGAGAAGACATGAGGATTTAAAAAGGAAGAGCAGCAAAGAGAAGGGAAACTACCATGGATTACAGTAAGGCACACATTACACTATTGGTTTATGTTAAAAAATCTGAGGGTTTAATGTCACTTTAAGACCTCCACTGTGCAAGAGAAAATGCTGCTCAATCCTTTAATCATATACAGTACTGTGCAAAAGTTTTAGGCAGGTGTGAAAAAATGCTGTAACGTAAAGGTGCCCATACACCTTGCGATTATCGTAAGGTGTATGAGCACCTTACGGATGATTTCAAAGTCTTGCAATGGTTGTGAGTATGGGCACCTTAAGAATGATTTCAGAAATAGTTTATTTTCATCAATTAACAAAATGGAAAGTAAAATGAACAGAAGAGAAATCCAAATCAACATTTGGTGTGACCACCCTTTGCCTTCTTCTAGGTACACTTGTACACAGTTTTTGAAGGAACTTGGCAGGTAGGTTGTTCCAAACATCTTCTGTGGATACAGGCTGCCTCAAATCCTTCTGTCCCTTCATGTAATGAATGTTGTTGAGATCAGGGCTCTGTGGGGGCCAAACCATCACTTCAGGACTCCTTGTTCTTTTTTAGGGCTTGTTCACACCAAGCGCGTTCCAGGAGCAGAGCAGTTACAGACCGGATCAAATCTGCGTCCAATGGTATTTTGGGCTCTAATTCACAGCGCAGCGTTCAGTTCCAGAGCATATAAAAAAAACTGCAGCAAGCCCTATTTTACCTGCTCTGGAACGCAGGCAAACGCCCTGGAACGCACTGAAAGCCCATTTTAAACTAATTTTTTTTTAACCAAAAACGGCCCTGAACGCATCAAAAACCGCGGTATAACACCCAGCACTGCGTGTGCAGAAACTCATGCAGATCTGGTCTGCATTTGGTGTGAACAAGGCCTTACGCTGAAGATGGTTCTTAATGACATTGGCTGTATGTTTGGGGTCGTTGTCCTGCTGCTGAATAATTTGGGGTCAATCACATGTCTCACTGATGGTATAGCATGATAGATAAGTATCTGCTTGCATTTCTCAGCATTGAGGACACCATTGATCCTGACCATGAAGCAAGCATGATGTGTCTCATCTACTGCATGAAGTTTCCTTGGCCGACCACTACGTCTACGGTCCTCAACGCTGCCCGTTTTTTTGTGCTTCTTCAAAAGAGCTTGAACAGCACATCTTGAAACCCCAGTCTGCTTTGTTGCTGTGCTCAGTCTTCCCATGGTGTATGACCTGTGACATGAAACTGTCTACAACCTCACCTTAGTAGCAGAGTTTGGCTGTTCTTCCCGTTTTAAGAATCCAGTTTCAATTAAAGGAGAACTATGAGGTGAGTGTCACAGGTCGGCTCCAACTATGAAATCAAAGAAGCTGTCACAGGTCGGCTCTACTGATCGGGAAGTGAGCAAAAACATGCAGCCGATCCACTTCCTTCACTCCACTTCTCTATGCAGTTACCGCTCCCCGCAGGGATATCCCAATCCCCTCTCCAATCCTCCAGCGCTGAGTGGAGGAACGAACAGGGGAGGGGGCGGGCACAGATGGCTGTAACTCTAGATAGGCAGAGCCAGCTGTCACTCACGCTGGGTGGATCCAGACAGTATTGTCTGGATCTGTCCCAGCTGAGGCGCTCTCAGTATATTGTGGACAATAGCGATATACTGAGCTTTGGGTCACGGGAGGAGGTTACTATATGTCCTCCTGTGACCCTAAAGAGAACTATGGGAGAAACACTTACCCCATAGTTCTCCTTTAATGACTGTTTAAATGAAATTGATGATTAGCATCTGCTTGGTATAATTGGTTAATCATACACCTGACTGTAATCCTACAAAATCCCTGACTTCGTGCAAGTAGAATTGATGCTGCTTTGAAGCCAAAAGGGTAGTCACACCAAATATTGATTTAATTTAGATTTTTCTTCTGTTCACTCACTTTGCATTTTGTAAATTGATAAAAACAAAAATATATATTTAAAATGTTTGCACAGTACTGTGTATTTATGAAACAATTTTATAGACAATACAGATTTTTATATGCTATTTTTATCTTCCTTGAATACAAAGCTTGCAAGGTCTGGCAGAGATAAAGGGTATGCTGAGTCATTAACAGGTGAACACGTTTTGATTCATGTGACTGATTCTTCATATTATTCACTATGCCATCACTTGACAAGATGAAGGATGACTCAAATCATTTGCTGTTAGTGCCAAAATACCTTTGCTGTAACTTCTCAGTACAAGCTTAGGAAACAGACACCTTCAGTACTGTTAAAGGAGAGCTTTGAGGTGAGTGAAAATCACTCATCCTCATAGTTCGAGCCGACGTGTGACAATGGAGCTGTCACACGTCGGCTCAATAGATCGGGAAGTGAGCGAACACATACCGTCGCTCGCTCACTTCTCGAGCATCTCCCTGCAGAGAGCAGGGACTGTCAGTCAACTCTCCCTGCAGGGATTCCCCCCCTTCACACTCCAATCCTCCAGCGCTGACTTGAGGGACAGGAAGGTACAGCTGGCTCTGCCTCTTGATAGGCAGAGCCAGCTGTCAATCACGCAGCTGGGTGGATCTCCACAATAATGTCGGGATCCGCCCCAGCTGCGCGGTCTCAGTATACCTCGAACTGTGGCTCGCGATATACTAAGCTTTTCGGTCACGGGAGGACGCTAGTAAAGGACCTCCAGTGACCCTTAAGAGAACTATGGGAAAAAACACATACCCCATAGTTCTCTTTTAAGTATGCACCTTTAGGCATAAAGTATTGGTATGCGAGTTAAGGTTAGGAAGAAGACTGTTTAAGGGGTCTATTTATGAATGATGTGGCTGACAACACTGCCTTCTCTGGACTGAAATCACAAACAATGGTGTCAGCCATTGAATAGTGGTCTCTTGATAAACTAAAAAATCCCTCCCACTGCCCTCATCTCATCATAATGTCTAATTATTTTCTAGCCCAAGATAAGAACTGGGAGGGCTGATCACTCTGCCTGTTTTATTTCAAAGGGTGTAAAGCAGGACAGCTCATTTCTGAGCGGGTCAATAGGTATTTTTTGCAATTTACCAAACAAATAGAATAAAATGCTTACAACAGTCAATGCAACAGACCAAAATAGGGAGCAAATAAAAAAGGTTATTTGTTAGTTTCCTTTTTTTCGATTATTTATAAGTCTGATTAGATTAGAAAAGGGGATGCGTTTTGTATTGATATAGGGTTCAGCTGAAAAACCCACCAAGTGCAGCGAGGGACCAGAACATGTCAAGCGTCAGATTCTGCAGAATACTTCAGCTAGAGCTCACTTGCTTCATTACAGGTGCAGCATTCATGGAAAATTTTCGTTTGTGACAGGGTAGCTTTAAAAATTGGGAGGGCAGATAAGTGTAGAATTATCTCTTAGGGTAATGTTAAGGCCTAAAGAGATACTGTCAACTCGAAAAATTGTAGGTAAAAGGACAGAAAAACCATGCTTTTCAAAAATGTTTACTTGGTATTTCTTTTCTCTCCATTGCCAATTTTGTATTGACTTGCAATGTGGCTCTGAACTTCCTTGCAAATTTGACTATTTCAGGATGAGCCAATTCCCGAGCACAGCCTCTCCTTCCTCCTTGTACATCATAGCACCCTCCTCTTCTGGGAGCATTTAATTACTATTTGTGCTGGTCCAGCTCCTTAACCCTACCCCTCACACCTTCCTATATAACCCTGTATGTAAGCAACCAGGGAAAAACTAAAAGGGACTACTATATAGAGTGGTGCAGCCAAAGTCCCATAAGACATTGCAAGACTCTGATAGCCACAGGCATGATTTCCAGAGGCAGATGCATGATGGATGAGTAGTTTCACCACAGTTGGAGGGCTGAAGGTTGGCTACCCCTGCAGTGTTAATTCAGTGATGGCTGAGCCTGCTGGGGATGTCCGTATAATCTGTAGAGCTCACAGACATACTAACATTTCCTGCTATAATCAAAATTGTCCAAATGAAACCAAGATAACCTATGGTACCACAAGCCTAGGGGGTCGAATTAATAAAGAAGTCATTTTCACCCTCGCTTGTGTTCCCATACCCAATGAGATGGGGTTTTTTTGCTCATTCCCTGAAAGTAATTTGTTATGCAAGGTAAACACCATGGGTCCTGCACTTTCAGAAAATGTACTGTTTGGGGGGACTTTTAAGGTGCCCATACACCTTACGACCATCGCAATACTTTTGTCTTGCGATGGTCGTAAGCTTATTAAAAGCTTGTACGATCTGCCCATCTTGGACAAGCAGATCGTACTTGCGATCATCGAAAGCCCGCCCCGCTGAGGGGCAGGCTTCCGATGACCGCAATGCAGAACGGGCAGTGTGCACACCGGCCCGTTCTGCAGCTGTCGAACGAGCAGGCTAGAAAGCCGCCGACAATCGTACGATTCTAGGCGGCTTTTCGAGCATGCTGGTTCGACAAAAGACGTGCGACCGTACAGTAGAAACGGTCGGACGTCTTCGTTCACACTGCTCGATTCTCGTACGATCGCGGGATTTCCCACGATTCTCGTACGAGAATCGAGCAGTGTATGGGCACCTTTATAAACTCAGAAATCTGTAAGCGAAAAATATGAGTAAAAAATTGCAAAAATGGTTTGCCCACCTGAGGTTTAAAATGGAGTGCAAAGCCTGGCAGTGAAAGCTTATTTTGCTGCTGATTCAGCTTGCGTCTACGACACGCTAAGAAGTGTATCTAAAACCATTGTTTTGTAAATGATTCTGCATATGTATGGACCTACCAAATGAGCACATGATACTATGTTAATCTTTGAAGCAGAGTCTGAAGATGAACACTACTTACAGATGGCGTCAACTGACCAGGTACAGTAATGACAGATTCAGGATCTTTGGCTACCATGGAATCAATAGGTTCTGCCTCCTCTGGTGTGGCCTGAATGCTGTCAGTATTCACATCTGTGGCTTCAGGGGCAGGACAAGACAGGGTATCCTCGGCAGATGAAGAAAGGGGAGACTCGGTGCTCTGAGTCTCCTTCTGACTGTCGGCATAGGAACTAGGAGAGCTGTCCTGATACAACAGGGTTCTCAGTTTCTCATCCAAGGTTTTGATGCGGTTGTCTGCAAAGTCTCTTTTGGGTGGCCCTTCTGTGTCAGACTCCTGAACCGAAGCGGAGTGCGCAAGTGATGATTCTGAGACAGGTGTCTGAGCAAATGTAGGCCCCTCCGAAGGAGTTGCATTGTCTGACAAAGCGAGGCCAAAAGACAAACCTGTAGTACTTTGAGCAGGTAAGCAGATAGAAGTTGAATGGGCAGTGTTCTCTACTGTGCATGTCAAACCATTTAATACTTGTGCATCCTGATCGCTACAGAGCTGCGTGCCCTGCTGTTGACCTTCAGATAAGACGGCAATATTGCTCACTGGTACATCATCCTCTGTCTTGGTCTGCAGTACTTGTGTGGGCGTGCTGTTAGCAGGAGAGGGTACATTTCCACCGTCATCAGTCACATGAGCTGTGGATGTCGTAGGCTCAGTTTCCTTAACAGAAACCTGACCATCTATTAAAGTGGGGAGGGAAGAGTGCTCTGCCAGATCAGAGCAGCTCTGCCCAGAGTGAAAAGAATCCTCGGGGAGACTATGGCTTTTTGGTTCATCATATACCCCTGTTAAGAGAAAAAATAAAACCATAAGACCATTTTCCAATCACTAAATGCACAATGCAATATTAATTGCTATAGGATGCACAGATCAAATGTGTATACAATAATCTGACAAAACTACAAAAAGATATAGGTCTAAACTAGTAACTTTACAGGAGCCACATTTACTTAAAGCTGAACTTGGGGATTTTAGAAATTGCAAACGCAATGAGTGGTATTGCGTTTTCCCATCTTGTTTGCAGTGCTTGAAAAGGCCTCTGTTTTTGTCTGCTGCACTTTAAAATGACCCATTTAAAATCACAGCAATGCTGCTGTTGCCATCTTGTTTAAGAAGATGCAATTAACAGGGCTTTCATCCCCATTTCCTAGCTTCACAGATTGGTATTAGATTATACTTGTTGCATTACTTGTTCTAAGACAGTTACTCAAAAACTAGCAGACCCAGAAGCTGAAAATGACAGGCCAGAAACGTGCTGCTTCTACAAAAGGGTTGTGTTAGGTAAGCCTGTTCACTCTTTGTAACAGATTAGGCCTAGGTCTGCATCAGCCACATGCAATTTGGCAATCTGAAGCTTAAAAGAGAACTATGGGGTAACCTTTTTATCCCATTTACTAGCATCCTCTCATGACCCAAACCTCAGTTTATAGCTATATACTGAGAGCGCCACAGCCGGGACAGATCCTGACAATACTGTCTAGAGGCAGAACCAGCTGTGCCCACTCCCTCCCATCTGTTCCTCCAGTCAATGCTGGAGAATAGGAGGGGGGGATCTCTGAGTGGAGCGGTGACCGATAGTCACGGCTCTCTGCAGGGACATGATTGGGAAGCGAGCGACGGTATGTGTTTGCTCACTTCCCGGTCTATGGAGCCGACATATGACAGTTTCATTGTCCCATGCTGGCTCTAACTATGAGTGAAAATCACTCACCTCATGATTCTCCTTTAAATAACACGAAAAGAAGGTAAAGTCTGTAGCATGGAGTTACAAGTAAGGCTTTGGTGTTGGGAACGGACTTTACACAAGTTATTGTGACGCTTAGGTTTCACCTACTTTCTGCTATACGATTGTGGATGGAGGACTTAAACCATCCCTTACTATATGGTCATCTGAGAGGCATTATCGATGTTCAGCCTGCCTTCAGGACTGTTCACTCACAGCAACTACTCAATACACATTAGGTGATTTCCGATTACTGCCCAAAGATAATTATTTCATACTGCTGTCTTATAATAATTTATCTGGTGAACAGCTGTCATGAGACAGTGGTGTGCATATGCAGTGAAGGTAGGCCTTATACTAAATGTTATACCGAAGTATTCTTTTAAAGCGTTAATACACTTTAATGTGAACATATCCTATTATCCCAGTCTTTGACCTAATGTAGCCTAGACTCCCCCTCCCCGGACGCATACTCATCCACACATATGGCCGCAGCCTCCAGTGTTTGCTTACATCCTGTGCCAAAAGTCTTTAGTGCTTCCCAAGCATCTCCGCCCTTGCAACGTAATCCAGTAGGAGTCTATAAGGATCAACTGCGCAGGCTCGGCCAGAGCACTGAAGACCTGAGGCATAGGATGCAAACACACATCCTAGGTTTCAGCCATCAGATCTAGATAGGTATGCATGTAGGGAGGGTGGGCTACTTCAGGGAATCAGAAAATGGCACTAAAAGACTAAGCACACTTTGTTATCCTATAAGGCTGCCCATGTTTTACATTCACTGTGAAAGACACTGCTGTTTTCATGCAGCCCCCATGTTCAATTATCTATAGGAAGCTAAACTCAAGGGCATTGGCAACCTTAAACAAAGTACAGAGAATGGTTGAAGCGTATGCAAGTCAGAGAGTAGTTTGTAAAATGTGCCCACTGGTCATACTGGGGAGGCCAACATTAAATATTTTATATAAGACATGCTAATATGACAAGCATGTCTACAGTATAAAGCTTCATTAGTGGAAGCCACCAACACCAAATGCTGGATCTGTTTTACAAGGGATGTCCTTTTTTTTCCGCCTTACTGAAAGAATACACACACACACACACACATATTATATATATATATAGTATATAACATACACGCATACACACCTGTAACTTGATGAGGAACTTTAGTAACTGGACTGAACTGAGCTTCACGATTTCGAATTGTTTGGTTAATGAAAAATCTCCATCGGCCAACTGGTGAGGACTGCAGTACCGAATCCCCTGTGGGGAAAAAAAAAATGATATATAAACTTAGCCAAAACACCACAGCTCTGTACACATGGTCAGTCTCAGTAGTATCAGCTGGTACAAGCATACTGAGCCACTGTTTAGAAGGCAAAGTCACTTACCTCCTGCCTGCGAAGAGGTTTGGACAGCTATCTGTGTGTGTTCAGATGACCCTGCCTGAATGAAGAAATTGAGAAGTTAATATGGCAGGCAGCATTCATGTAATCCAACCTGTAATATGGAGAGAAAGAAACCACCTTCATGAAAAACGCACCTAAAGGGAATTCGCAAAAATCAGTTTAGTATTTAAAGCATGCATCCCTCTATTTGAAAGCTGCTGTGCTGACTTCCATCTGAATATTCCAGGTGTCTAGCCGTCTCTGGCTTCTGTAGTCTTAGTCACCAATAGCTAATTCGTAGCAAGTAAATTCAAGAGTGAAATAGGATCCTCTGATCTACATACTGGTTTTGAGTCAGAGACTTAAAGTACTGAGGTCACTGGTTCAACAACAAAATCAAGCGGCTGGCGTTTTGGGAGGCAGAGGTCAGCACTGTATAAAGTTATGTCACTCAGTAAAAGGTAGCAAGTAAATATTGTAGCTAAAATAAATATATCAAATAACGCAGCCCCTGCAATGAAGATACTAAATACATACCTCTCCCGCTGTTTTTTGCCACCGACGTCTGACGTTAATAAAAGAAACTGCCATCTAAAGAGTATTATGGATTACAGTAAGGCACACATTACAGTATTGGTTTATGTTAAAAAATCTGAGGGTTTAACCCCTTCATGACTGAGGCCTTTTTTTCCTTTTTTGCACCCATGTCATATTCCACATTTTAGGCCTGAAAATGACTTAAAACCCCATTATATATTTTCTGAATGCCAAGACCCTATAGAAAAAAATGGTGGTAGTTGGAAATTAATATGTTGCGCAATATTAGCGCAACTCCTTATTAAACCCCAACATTTAGTGAAAAATTTAATTAAATGCCCCAAAACACAACAAAATACCAATTTTTTTTAATGAAATATAAAAGATGAGGTTACAACGAGTAAAACGATACCCAACATGCCCAGGTTACAAATTGCGTGCATCCGTAAAACGGTGAAAAACTGCAGTACCCCAAAAAGTCCATAGAAGACTCTTTAAAAGCCCCCACAGGTCATCAATTTAGAGATACCCCAAAATACTGGCCCTAGAATTATTGCTCTCACTCCGGCGTGCGCAGCGATACCCATCTGTAGCGCTTTCGTCGTTTTCATACGTAGGCGCACCCGATGCTTGATTACGTGGCGACACGCGTGCTCGCGGGGGCGGGGGACTTTTAAATTTTTTTTATTATTATTAGATTTTATTTCATTTAAAAAAACTTTTTTTCTACTTTACTTTAACTGCTATCACATAGGGGGGCTTATAAGCCCCCCCATGTGATAGCAGATGGTGGTGACAGGTACTCTTTAAGGTGATGCTGGGGGTCCAAAAGACCCCCAGTGTCACCTTTACACTGGAAATAAGCTATTGAGGTGCAGATCGCACTTCAATAGCTTATAGCTGACAGCCCAGGGATCGGAAGTGATGAAATCTGCATCGCTCCCGGTCCCATAGAACGGGGAGGGGATCGATGAACGGAAGTTCGTCGACCTCCTCCCCAGCTCCCCGCGGACACCAAGGACGCCGGGCCCCTAGGAGGGGCAACGGAGCCCTTCTACGGGACATAGAAGCAATCTGGCGACACAGGAACGTCGCCAGAATCGCTTCTGTTGTAAAGACGACAGTCGGCTTTACATATTTAAACAGAGTCTGTTTAATCAGCCCCAATGCTGGCGACGTACACTGTGTGTCGTCAGTCACGAAGGGGTTAATGTCACTTTAAGACACTGTGTGCAATAACTACCTGCCAGATCCCAGCCTGAAGAGGGTGGTTACCTGCTGTAAATATCAGTGATATATTCACCTAAAAATAAAATAGGATTTTCTTGGAGTACATAGTAGTAGCAAGAGCAGGACAATTAACACAGTGGAAGTACGTCTGTGTCACTCAATGGGCTCCAATAAAAGTATTTTATGATCAGTATAAAACCCTATTTTCTTTAATGTCAATTGAGCTAATTCTGAGAATTCTTAGACTGTCGGGACATTCAAAAGCAGTCCTACAGAGGGGAGGGCAAAATAGCAAGAAGGCCAACAGCAGTAGATGTATGCAAAAACCCAAAACCAAAAAAACAGAGTTTGATACTACTTTAAACAAATAATATATACATTTTTTTCGGCATTTGCCAGTCTAATAAAAACAGGCAGTATTCTTCTTATTAAAACAGTGTACCAAATAAAAACCTTATATGTCCTTAAGAAAAAAATAAAAATATTTTAGGTATGCACGTTATAGACAAGTTAATCAATGCATGCCGATGCTGCTAAATTAGGCCTGGGCATGTAGGCCTCAAACACCTCTGGTAACAAATGGGTTAAACACTTTGAGAATGTATTAGCTTGTATACACTTTTATCAGCAGTATGAGGAAGTGGGTAAAAAATTATGGGACAGTGGCTGCAATACTAATTACAGAATAGGACCGGGCTGGGATGTAGTTATTTCAGCACAGGACCTTACCTTATCAAGCTTGTGCATGGAGCTGCGTGTGCATGGAGCTGCGCGTGCATGGTTCAGTGCACACAAATGCTGACCGGCAAGGAGGCAGCAATTAAGACAAGAGACACACAGAGTTCTTTGTTTTGACATTATTCTGCATGCAAAGTACTGTGCTAAAAACCATACACAGTCCCATATCAGCTTTGAAATTTAAAACGAAAAGTCCATCTCAGTGGCAAGGTCCGCTTATTCAAGTTGTAGACTCTCCCTTAAACACTGCATAGCATGTACCTGTGGGGTAAAAAAGTCGTTAGATACTATTACTTACCTCTACGACACCAACCAGGCGGGGGTGACTCGATCCTCCTTCTGACCAGAATGTTGAGTAGCCTATACCTTACAGGAAGATGATTCTGCACTGTGCATATGGCGTCGCCGCCTGCACCGCGGAAGTCAGGGAAAGGTCAGATTTGTATCTATTTTTAGGGAGAAGGGGCACCTTAAATAGGCGGACCTGGTCACTGAGGTGGAAGGTCCACTTTAAATTGACATTTAACCACTGAGGATCTCTAAAAAGAAAAAGGGAACAAAAAGGAGCTAGGACAAAGGGCAAATGTTAAAATTTGCAAACTTGCTTGCTTTGCATGGACACATTAACCTCTTGCCGTCCGCCTGTAGTGAAAAAACGGACGGACGGCACTCCAGCATCTGCGGGTTGCCGTCTGCAGACGGCAATTTTTTTCTGCTCGCGCGGGCCCCCTAGCGGGCACGCACGGGCAGAAAAGACCCGCTAAATGCACACACCCGTTACCGGGTGTTTCACATATAGGCGATCGGCGGGTCCATAGCCC